CATGTTTTTATTATAAACACACACACATCCACAAATCACACTATAACAGTTGGGTAAAATGCGTATGAATATTAGTATTCCGCAACGTTTGCTTTTCTTTCAAGTTTATATTCTTAAGATTTATTCTTGCTTAGGCGATCTAGTTCTAGTCCACTCATTATAACTGCCACATATTACATGGAACCCCAATTTATACATTCCCTCTGCTGCTTCCTTTATATTTTTGCTATCAAGCAAAGCGACAATAAGCTTTCACCCATACGTCCCATTTCCTAACTGAGCGGTGGTACTGCTCCACCAATAAAAAAAATCCAATAAACATCTGCCCAAAGCTGAGCGTGGGTTTGGGAGGAGACAGTAAACTTAATGTTAACATATTGCATGCTAGAAAGTGTTAACTCTGTAGAAAACAGACCAGAGTAAGGATGATTGGAAATTCTGGTAGCAGCAGAGTTGTGAATAGTTGCTTGGGGGGGGGGGGGGGGGGCACTGCTAGTCACGTGTCTCCGTGACAACCCTACTTAGCAAACGACTCCCGAATCTCACCTGTTTACAACACACCTAGGTTTTTGGGTCAGCCAGGGTGGCTCTGCGTCGGAATGTGGGTCAGCTAGATTTGGCCCGTGTTGTGGGTTGGATTCAGGTTGGTCCCAAGCATCTCGTCACTCCCCTGAAACAAGGGTGTGTTTCCTTCGTGGTAAATGTCAGACATGAAGGAGACCATGTCAGATCATGGATGTATATTCAAGACCTCTGCTTGTGTCTCGTCTGTTAACTTTCCACTGCTCCGTTCCAAGCAAGTCAATGAAATAAGCCTGGCTAGGAGGGAAGCGTAGTCTACCTGCTTTAGGGGGAGGTCCTGAAAGGTCTCACAGGAAAGATGGCAGTGCAGAATTCCATGGAAGTCATGAAGAATTGAAAACTATACTAGGGGCGCCTGGGTGGCTCAGTCGGTTAAGCGGCCGACTTTGGCTCGGGTCATGATTGCATAGTTGGTGGGTTCAAACCCCGCATCGGGCTCTGTGCAGACAGACAGCCGCCTGACAGAGCCTGGAGCCTGCCTCGGATTCTGTGTCTCCCTCTCTCTCGGCCCCTCCCCCACTCATGCTCTGTCTCTCAAAAATGAATAAATGTTAAAAAAAATTTTTTTTAAAGAACACTATAGTAAAAAAGGGTTTTTTGAAGGAAAAAAACACAAAATAATTCCCAATTCATAGAGCTATTGTGAGGAAGAAATGAAACAATGTACGTGCAGAGTCTAGTCCGGAGACTGGTACAGATATTAAAAGACTAGTTAATGCTTCTATGTCACTTACCATGTGCCAGGCACTCTAATGTGTTCTCTATATCTATCCATGTAACCCAACCCTCACACTATTCTTCTGCCTATTTTCTAGATGACGAAACCGAGGCCAGTGAAATGAAGTCATCTGCCCAGGTCACATGACTAGTACAACTGTAGAGCTGGGGGTTGACAACAGACAAGTAGCCCAGCATCTTTACTCTTAACCATGCTCTCTGCTCCCTCTGCACACCTCCCAGACCCCAAGTCTGGATTAGTGCTGTGTGTTCCCGCAGGCATTGTGCTTTTCATCTCCTGGTTCTGGGTACCACTCGCCTTTTCACTTGCCTGCGTCCTTAACTACAGTGGGCATTCTGGAAAGGCAGGGATTGTGCCCATCTTATTTCCTTTCATTCCCTACCCATCAAACATGGCCATGGAGTGATGCAACCGTCTTCTTCCCTTTGTACCGGCCCCACAGTGTGTGAAAGCAAGTGAAGGGGGCACAAGAGATTAAAGATGCCAGAAAAGTGTGCAGTCATTGATGGAGCAAGGTATTTAAGTCAGCAGAAGATAGAAGGTTAAGACTAAAATGAGGAAGTATGGACCTTGAGAAGATGGAAGGACACCTGTTCCTTTAAAGATGGAAAGAGATGGAAAAAGTGGATCTTGTAAGAGCAGAGGAGGCTAGATGAGGAAGCTCAGGCCGGATGACTTGAATCATCTCAGTAAATAAGGGGTGGGAGAGGATGCTGGAGTCTGGAGTGGGAGATCGAGGCAAGAGGAGAGAATTTGAAATAAATGCCTAACTTTTGGGGTCTGTGATCTGTTTTTTTTTTTTTTAATGTTCATTTTTGAAAGAGCACACGAGCAGGGGAGGAGCAGAGAGAGAGGGGGACAGAGGATCTGAAGCAGGCTCCACACCCACAGCAGAGAGCCCGATGTGGGGCTTGAACTCACGAATCACCAGATCATGACGTGAGCCGAAGTCAGACGCTCAACTGACTGAGCCACCCAGGCACCTCCCGTGATCTCTTTAATATTACAGTAAAGAATACGATGAACCCAGGGAAAAAAAAAGAACATACACACAAAATTTTGCATAATAATTTTCGAGGTCCAGGGACCCCAGGTTGGGAACTGCCTGCTCTCAGGAAGCTAATGCAACCGAGCAAAAGTATTTCTGAGAAGGAATTTGAAGGCAGGCAGCTTGAATTCATAGCCTTCTAAGTCTGTGTTTCTGTGACTTCAGCAGCACACAATGGCAGGAGAATAGTGGCTGATGTGGAATTAGAGACTGAGGCTGCAGGTTTCTGAGCAGCCCAGGGCTGGGGGGGGGGGGAGGGGGGGGAAGGAGGAGGGGAGGGCAGTAGGGGTAGAGAGAAGGCAAAGCATGGGCCAGCCAAGAAGTGGCAGACGTGGCATTGTGGAGGGTGGCGCGTGGGACGGGTCCTCTCTGGGTGTGGGCCACCCGAAGCGCGTGGTCTGTAGAGAACAGAGAAATAGTAATAAAACGGAAAGTCCCGTTTCAGGCATGTTGGCCATGATGCCCCAGCAATTCTCAACACTGACAGTGATAAAATCCTGCCCTCTGAAGAAGCCTGGATGTCGCGTCTAAACAACTGCCTGTATCTGGGTACACACGCCCCTGGGAGGCAGATAAAGAGATTACTCTGGAGGGAGTAGTCCAGGATGTGGGTGAGGTGCTGGTGGGCGGCCAAGGTGGAGCCCAAGTTGAGCTCCTGCTAGAGAAGACGCCTCCCTCGCCCCGCTGGTTAAGCGGCACAATTCAATGGCTTTCATCTTCTAGAATCTAGATGCTGTCTGGAACCCTAAATCCTTCTTCTGACTGCCAGTCATAACCGTATGTGATTCACCGTCCTCACGCGTCCGCCCTGCCCCACATCTACACCTGCCTTGGTGTTTCACAGCCCTTTCGCCCCTTCTCCTAACAGATGGCTCTTCCTTACAGATTCCTCAGGTCTCCGATGACCAGGCACCGGTAGACACAGGATGCTGTCCCTTTCCTCCTCCCAGGTAAACGAAAGGAGTCTCTCCTTCCCTTTCTGACATGTTCCTGCGGGGGTGTTTTCATTCCATTCGTCAGACCAACCTGGGACGTAGAACCAGATTAGAGGGATCCACGTTTCACATGTTTTTCATCCTTAAACCATCAGGACACTATCTAGAGAATCCTGCTGCGGGGCTCAGAATGGTGATTATCCCCACCAGAGTAGGAACCGCCAGCTGCTTTGTAGCGTGACGGGTACTGTCACAGTGGTGCGTAGGTGTTTCCTTGGTGTCCCAGAGGAATTTAGTTGCTTCTTGAAATCCCTCTGCAATCTCTTACTTGGGAGTAATGATGGAACGGAGCAAACAGGGTCTGATTCGCCCTTCCAGTCTTCCTTGGAAGTCACTGGAGGGCTGGTAGTTCTCTGGAGGTTAGCCACTTCTCAAATGGACCGAATCTCCACCATCTCTTCCCATTACGGCCCACCCTCTTCTTCAAGATGGCCTCTGTGTGGTTCTGACCAAGAAGTTGCCCCATCACTGGCCAATGAAGTAGATAAACTAGAAACAGCTTGGTTTAACATTTGAGGTTGGAAGCAGGAACTTTCTAGAGGAGACCTCAAAGAAGCAAAAGGTGCATAAGAGCAGCTCCCCGACCGGAGTGCCCACTGGGGGGATTCCAGGCTCCTAGCAACTACAGAAGCATGTAGAATGATCAAGCATGGTCAACTCACTGTCAGACTAAAGCACTGCCATGTATCTTCATTCCTCAGTAGCTGACCGCTGGAGCCATACACAGTTTGGGGGAAATGTGGAGATTATACTTAGTTAACATTACTCAGGGCACTACACAACCTTCACAGCCTCTGTGAGGCCATGAGCACTCGAGCACTTACTTTGGACAATGGGAATTTGCCCTCAAGACAAGCATCCAGGGTTTGCACATAGAATAGAGCCTTTTTTTTTTTTTTTAATTACTTGCTAACATTATAAACCGTGCATTCAAAAAATAAATCTGGTCAGTAAGAAGGAATTCAGCTACCTATTTAACTACAGCAGCTGCCTGTGTCATCCACTGGTGCTCTTTATAGGAAACGTCTAAATAATTGAAATCTTTAATTGGGTTAAAGAGATCCCTAGCACATAGATGTTCTATAAATAAAAGTGAGTAAATAATATAGTGGCCATTCTTTTCAGGCCCTTCCCCTTAAAGAGACCATTTTGTTTTGTTTGCTCCAATAAGATCGGTGTTCAGGGACACTTGAGAGAGGTTAGGTTTCGGCTGGGGCGGAGCTTTCCCAAAGAAATCCCTTTTAGTTTGTTTCAGGTGGATTTCCACCTTCTCCCTTGGCTACTTCACTAAAAACTAATCATTTGTTTGTCTTTGCTCTGAGTAGCCAGGCACCTGGGCTTTGCATTTCCAAGTGGGGTCAGAGCAAGTAGTAAAGGTAGCATGCTGACCTTGCCTTGTTATCTGAAATCAGACAGGTTTAAGTAGCCCAGAGCTTAGGAGACAGAGAAGAAAGGGAAGGGAAGAGAAAAATGCTTTTAAAAAGGAAGTGGTAAGACGTTTCTGAATTTCAGTGTGACCTGTTCTGTCAGGTGATTCTTGTGGGGGAGGAGACACGAGAAAAAAAAAAAAAGTTAGGTAAAATGTCCTTATAAAGACAAAATCTATTTCTTTCCTGCCTGATGATTTGTCACTCTAGTCACTTCCTGCCTTGTGACCGCGTACCCGGGTTTGACAAAGTTGTTCTGCAGATCAGAAAGAAGGGGGTTTCTGGTCACACGCCAGTACCACTGAGGACAGTTTTTCAACAAGGTAAAATTTCTTAATGTCTTTTTGTCATTTCTAAGTGCTTATGATGTTTTTCCTGGTTGGGCGGCTCTGTTTCTGTGGGTTGTGGGTTTTGCCTTCAGGGGACTGAGATCTGAGCACCTGTCACCCGAGCCCTCTGTGAACCATGTCACCGTTTAACTGCCCAGCCAAGCTGTAGCCACCCCATGTGGCTGTCCAGAGTCGGACCCCTCAGTTCTGTGGGGTGGCTTCTTCTCTAGTTATCCACAGTTAGCACCCCCAAAACCAGGATTCTTTTTTTCCCTTTTACTTTATTTTTATTTTTTTATGTTTGTTCATTTTTGAGAGAGAGAGAGAGAGACAGAGACAGAGACAGAGCATGAGTGGGGGTGGGTGCAGAGAGAGAGGGAGACACAGAATCTGAAGCAGGCTCCAGGCTCTGAGCTGTCAACACAGAGCCCGACGCAGGGCTCGAACTCAAGAGCAGTGAGACCTTGACCTGAGCCGAATTTGGACGCCCAACGAAATGAGCCACCCAGGTGCCCCCTTTTTTTTTTTCCCCCTTTCAAACCAAACCATGTTTTGATTTATTTCTCTTGCTTTATCTTGGGGATGCTATTTACTGTGATTTGATCTACTTTAAAATGTTTTCAGGAAAGTGGGTATTGATCATTTAGATTGTGCTGCTCATTGGCCTGGTGGGAGTAGTTTAATTTTAGCTCCGGTGGTTCTGTTTTTCTAAAAAGTTTCTTTACAGCATTTGAGTGGATGTATTAACGTCTTGAGTCATATGTTGCTGAGTGTGTTACTGGTTATTTGAGTGATTTTGGTGCCAGTGGTTTTAACGGGTATGTCTGATAACCACAAGGAATCGGAGGCGCCTTTTCTTCATTTACTCTCTAAAAATAAAAGCAATTTGCGTGGCTTAATTGTACTGTTTTTGCAGAATTGTTTGAACTATTGCTTAGGCTGATGACCAAACAAATGGCCGTTAAATTCTGGATGAAAGGCTTCTGTCTACATCAGAAATCCTGATAAAGTCGACATGGAATATTTACTCCAGAAGCTCTGTTGAAACATAGACTTTAAATCTTGTAGCGTCGGCATTCATTTAATTATCATTATCCAACAGTATTAACAACCATTGACAGATGATAAGCATAAAAGCCATTCAGACTGGAAATGGCTTAATTTATCAGGGTACTTATCAAAACCCAATTTTTCTTATTCAAGGATAGCAACTCATTTTTTCAAGTTAGTTCCCCAGGGCAACTTAAAAAAAAAAAAAACAAAAAAAAAACCTATCAGTCAACAACGCTGGTTTATTAGCCGTGTCTTAGTTTTGAATTTACATAAATTTATCATAATTGGTTTCTATTAAATAAAACATTTCAAAGAACCATCTGCACAGGCAAATTTGAATGGAATTAGCCATTTACCTATAAATGTGAATTTCTGAAAGTTGCAAAATGTGGGCATCAATATGTTTTACACATCTCTCGTGAGTGGTTTTAAACTAGCAAAAATGTGGAATTGGGGGAGGAGGACCTGAGCCCCAGAAAAGAACAAATTAAAAAAATGCTCTATCTTCTTTCCAGTAAAAATATTAATGGGAACAAAATAAATTAGAGTGTGAAGGTATGTCAGTCTTTTCCTTACTTTGGAAGGAAATAAAATGGAATATGAAAAAGTTAATTCAAAGTAGAGAAAAAAGTCTCTTGATTTAAATCAAGTTTAGACTGTTAAAGTGTCAACCTGATACGCTATAAAATATCCATTTCTCTTCTGTCTAGCTCACCCCCAGTAGCATCAGGGAAGAATCTTCTGGGTCTTACCCATTGATCAAGCACTGTTATGGTGGGACATTTCATTAGCTATCTGAAGGATGCTTTTCTTGGTCACATTTAAAATTTTATTTCCTTTAACTTACAAAGTATGCCTTGAAACAATCAGTAATTTGGGAAACAATTTCAGTATTTTTTAATTTTTTTTTTTCAACGTTTATTTATTTTTGGGACAGAGAGAGACAGAGCATGAACGGGGGAGGGGCAGAGAGAGAGGGAGACACAGAATCGGAAACAGGCTCCAGGCTCTGAGCCATCAGCCCAGAGCCCAACGCGGGGCTCGAACTCACGGAGTGCGAGATCGTGACCTGGCTGAAGTCGGACGCTTAACCGACTGCGCCACCCAGGCACCCCAACAATTTCAGTATTTTAATACCATTTATAAACCTTCTTCTGGTCCCTGTGAAGAAGGGAGGCCAACAAGTAAAGTCCCATTCAAATATGACCTACTTAGAGAGAACAAGACAAGTAATAAAAATATTATTATATTATAATATTTATACCTACTTACAACATGTAGCCACTCTTTATGCATTATCTCACATAATGCCTTTAGACATGAGGCGGGGGGCTCACCGTGGAAGCAACTGGCCCACTGTCACTGGGCTATTGGAGGGGTCGAGGGATGTTAGATAGTCATGATTTCCAGCTCCATATTGCTTCTCTATAAGCATCTGTCTCTTCTAGATCCCTTCTTCCACACCAGCATATTTTTTTCCCAGATGTAGATCATTAGAAGCTTTTATTTCTGAAGCTGACTGAGGAGACCTTGGTGCTCATAATTTTAAAGGAAAGAGGGGGAGAAAGAGAGAAGAAAAAAATTTGCAATAAACCCAGAAGCTTTTTTTGTCTTTATAAGTAAGAGATATCGTTGTGGGTTTCATGTAATGAGTGCAGAATCCTCTTTTAGAGAATGAAGAAGTATCCTCTCTTAATTAATGTATAATTTTACCAAAGAATTGTACGCCTTCACAAACTTGCCTCAACCACTTCCCCAACCTTATTTCTTGTCACTTCCTTCTGCTCTGGCTGCCCTCCATCCTCTCACCCCCCCTCATTTGCCCATGTTCTGGGTGCACAAGACCACAAGCCGCCAGAAAGTTCCATGCTTTCACTTCTTTTTGTTCCAACTGTTGCTCCGATTGCTTTCTTATTTGTAAAACTTACAGTCAGTTTTCAAGACTCACTTCAAGAAACGAGTCCTTTCAGAAGTCTTCCCTATGGAACCCTTCGGCCATCTTCCTTGCCCCACGAACAGTTTCTTCTGTGTGTGTGTCTGTTTAACGTTTTGATCTTAGAGTAAGTATAGCAGTAACCATAATTGCTTTAGTTTCAATTCCTTGTTTGACAGCCTGAGCTCCTTCTTAGCTCTCCTAGCACGTGGTCAGCACTAATGATATTTATTGAATTGGAAATTTGTCACACGTATTTTCTCTCAGCTACTTAGAGATGCATGGAAGTCTTTTCTTTGATTTCACTTATGAACTTATTATTTACTGAGTTCCTCACAGTGATGGCTGTGGAAGAAGATATAGTAATCATACGGTATTTTGCATTCTACCATGCTTCCTCTTTGCCGAAGCACTATTCTTCATTTTAGCCTCAAAGCACTGAATGGACATTGAGTGCAGCGTATTTAGGAAATTTCCCAATGACCATCGCAAACAGACAAAATTACAATCTTATTATTTTGGCCTAAACACAGTCAGTGACCTCAAACTTAGCTACACTTACTGAAACTGTTGTAGTTGATAATGGGCTTCTTTGATGACAGAGAACCTAAGAACAGATATTAGTAACTTTTGCTTAGTTACTTTGGATTATTCTAGAAAGTTCTCAAGTCAACTTCTCCTCATTACTTGTAGAATAAAGACCCTCCATATATAGAGGAGAGAGGGCAAACACATTTTGATATCAGTCTAGGTGAAATAAAATTCACAAACTTGCTCATAAGATTCCATTAACGAAGAGTCAAAATTTATAAAGCAAGATTGTAAAGGCACCAGACTTTATGATTAATAGATTTTGTGGCAGAGTAACATTATTTATATTAGTCTAATTGTTTCTTTAGGGCTTTTTGTCAGCTAGTTTCCCAACTCACAGAAACCACCAACCAAAATGATGCTATGCCATCTACATACTGAACCCTGCGGGCATAATAAACATTAGCATTAGAGCTCCACCGAAATGTCAAACTAACCAGTGTCAACAGATTCCAAGAGTTGCAAGTTTCCCTGTTTTGCCAGATGGCAAGGCACTCACATCAAAAGCGTCCATGTTTCACGCTGTTTTCATTTTGAAGTTCTGAGAAGTTGCCACCAGATTAGACGTTCACATTTTTAGGGGCATCTCCCTACAGCTGCTGAAGACACACAGGGCTGCCCAGATGGCATCTCCTGTGGCTTTCCTCAGTTCCCTTCTGAGTCCATTTCCTTAAACTATTGACTGTCCCCATTGTTTTGGGTTTGCCAAGTTTCAGTGATTACATCAGTCTTCCCAGTAATTTCATCATCGCTTCATCTTGTAACCTACAGCAAGCAGCAGAGCGGGGAAGAAAGAATTTCAATTTACCACCCTAATAATGATAGCTAACACTCGTGTACTACTCTCTCGGGACTGAGTATTTTTTGTGTTTTAACCAATACTGATATATTTAGTCATCCCTACGATCCTGTGAGGTAGTTACTGGTGTTATCTTCATATGTGAAGAAAGCCAATCCATTCAGATGGTTTATTACTTTAATTTTCTACATTTGAATCAGTTTTTTGTGTTTTTTGTTTTTTTTTATTTTTTTATTTTTTTTTCAACGTTTATTTATTTTTGGGACAGAGAGAGACAGAGCATGAACGGGGGAGGGGCAGAGAGAGAGGGAGACACAGAATCGGAAACAGGCTCCAGGCTCTGAGCCATCAGCCCAGAGCCTGACGCGGGGCTCGAACTCACGGACTGCGAGATCGTGACCTGGCTGAAGTCGGACGCTTAACCGACTGCGCCACCCAGGCGCCCCTGAATCAGTTTTTTATATAACTGCTGAATTCCAGGAGAAATAATATCCTCCTGGAATAAACAGGCAGCAGACCATGGGGCTTATTTGTACTTAAGCTCTGGAGTTGAGCTCAAATAATGATAATTTATCCCAAATAAATGGATCAGTCTTCCAATTGCTTTTATCAAACAGA